AATATAAAAAAAACTTAAGTCGTTAAAGCAATGAAACAAAGGTGGCTTAAAATTCGATGGACTATGTATCGGTTCCTGTTGTATAGTGTTCGCGTGTCGTAACATGTGCGGTTCGTTAGCGGCGACGAGTAAGCACAAAGAGAAGGCGTTGCGGCTTGGTTGTACTGAATCTTCCAGCAGTCGGGTCAGGATGAGAAATCTTAGTAAACGAGGGACGGGGGGGGGGGGGGGGGGGGGGACCGGGTCTGGACGCCTGGCGGATCTCTTCCATGCCCTGGTGTGCCAGCTCGAATACACTTCATGCTCTTGTTACCAGCCTTCTTTTCTCCCTTTTCGTTTTGTTCAATTTGGTTGCAGGGCGTGCTGCTCCTTTCACCCTGTTCGTCAAGTGGCACACACGGCACGAAGATGACGTGGCACGCGCAACCATAAACCGTTAAATTCCGCCCGCACGTTACACAAGTCCCCTTTCACCAAATTTTCTTTTTTTAATCCGTGCGCACTGCGCGACATTCATTCTATTAAATCAATGGCGGTCGGCTCAGAGGAAAATTCAATAAAAACGCATGCACACGAAAGTACCCTGCTAAGAAGGCTGAATAAAGGGAGTTATATAACCTAGCCTTATATTTTCTTGAGCCCTTTATGTGGTCTACTCGAAAGCAATACTCATTTTAGGCTGGGGGGACGCCAAGGTAGATTATGCAGAGCACACTCGTTCCGTACGGGCTCCGGAATCACCAACTTAGGAAGCAAAATATCCAAAATTTTTCAACAAGGACTGAAACACAGGGTGTGTAAAGGTATTTGTTAAATGAAGGCACCGAATGTTTGGAAATTGGACCACCGGCTGACCTTCTTCGGCCAATTCCTCACCCCTGCGGGCGGGCACCCAACTAACCGGACCGAGAAATACGTCACCTGGGGCGAGCCATCGCCGGGGGCCTTAGGCCTAACTCCGGCTACTCCGGCGCGACCCTCCACTGGGACACTTCGGAGCTTTCTCCAATGAACCGAGCATCGGAATGGAACCTGTCGATGTGGCAGGTGAGAAAATCTCTCCGGAAGAGTGTACAGCAGAGGCGGTCTGGCTCGTGAGCCACCGGCAAAGGGATGCGCAGGCTTTAAACAAGCTGAGCGTAATGGCGACGATCACGGCCAAAAATGGCACAGGCGGCCGAGCAACAATCAAAAAGCCGTGTCAAATACAAATTAAACTGCATCACCAACAAGCCCTCCAACGGGAGGACATAAAAGTCATCCTGCGTCCACTAGAGGGCCTCGATGTTGCAAAACTAAGCTGCGCGGGGATAAGCGACGGAGTATTCTGCGCCATCGGCTTCGCGAAGCACGAAGCCGAAGGAGACCTGCTGCGAGTCAGCCCGGAGAACAAAATATTCGTGAGAAACAGACCAAGCATAGACCGAGCCAAGAAATACAACTCCATTTCCGAAATCTTCTTCGAAGTAAAAACATACGAAGTCGCCAGGTATGCGCCGACACCGTAGGATACGGCAAAGGGGGTTGTGCATAATATTTCCGTTTATGAGAACTCGAAGACATTGCGAGAAGCCTCGTCGACAAAAAGAATCCTGCCATCCTTCAAGCAAGAAGAAAAGGGAAAAACAACTGGCATTCATTGTTTCTGAGGGCAACAAATTGCCCTATTACGTATGTTAACGCGAAGGGGAGTTCCGGTGTTCATTACATAAGAAACGCACGACGTTTGCTCCGCCTGCGGAAAAATGGGGCACCGCCTGAACGTCTGCCCGGTGGTCGAAGACGAAATATTCCGCACTTGTGGTATAAAGGACTTATTATTTCTATTATGCACAGTTTATTATATTTCTGTGTGTAAAAAGATTCATCATTATATGTCTATATTTATTTTTCTATTATGTATAGTTGACTATCTCTTCTGTGCTTTTTTTATATATCTGTGTGACAAGATTCGTCACTATGTTTCAACATTTAAATCTATATTTTATTGTCTTATCCTTGCCCTGACACTGAAAGTAGAAGAGCCTTCGGCTTTGTCGAACTGTCTATTTGACAGCTTTTTCTGCAGGCTTCCTGCATCATGTTTTTTTGGTGCAAAAAAAACATTATTAATATTACTAGGAACGGCATCAATGTAACACCTAGTGATCCATCTGTGGGATAGATCACCCCACAGGAGAAGAAAAAATTAAGAGCCGCTTCCAAACGCCGTACCTTCTACGGAAACGACAGCGGGAGCGAGAACAAGGACAGGATGGCGCCGGCCAACATGATAGGCACCGAGACGCCGTGTTGACATCCATTCTTGGCCGCAGCGGAGAGAGCAAGGGAGAAAGGTGGAGGGATGAGAGATCGTTTGAGTTTCTTCCCTCGCCTACTCCTCCGCAAGTCGAAGCGCGACAACGACGAGGGGCAGCGGCAGCAGCACCGGTCGAGGTCGAAGTCTAGACGCCAGCGCCCAAGCACCCTGGGCCTGACATCAGTCAAGATCGAGATCTCAAGGAGGCCAACAGCAGACCCCCGAAAGGAAGCAAACAGTAGAATGAGGTGAGCTGGGCTAGCACGGACTGCCACAGCTCCTCTCCGCAAAACGCAAAAAAAGAAGGTTAGTAAAAATGCTAGAGCAGGAGAGGCAGACAATCATCAACTGGTAGAACTCACCAAAATCATGCAAATGCAAGATATTGCCGCGCGCACAGCTGGCCAAGGAGGCAGCACGCGCGTGGCCTAACGGTTATCGTGCCTGCCTCCGACGCGAAAAGGCGGGGTTCAATTCCTGGTAGTGACGCATCTTTTGTTATTTCTGCAATTTAGTTTTCTGGTAAACTCGAGAATCCTGTTGGGCTTGTTCGAGGTCCGAATGCTCTACGCGTCGAAGATTCTACGCCGATTATTCCAGAAGCTTACGCATGTACATAAGGGGCTTCGCGTGGCGAACGGGAGTCAGTTTCGCCTCAGCGTTCGATGCCGCTACTTCGCCGCCATCGACGACCGCGACGCTCTGTAGTTATCCTTCTTTTTCCTTGTATTTCTGGGCACAAGTTCGCCGCATTAAACGTTCAGCTTACTCAATCATTCGCCGCCTTGTCACTTGACATTCGTGACAATATGGTAGTCGCTGAGAATACAAAGCCAAAGGCCGAAGTGTAAAAAAGTAATAGGAAGACAAAACGCCAACAAAGCGGCCCCCGCCACGCAGGATTCGTCGAAATCGCAGGCCCTACACTCAAACTAGAGCAAGTCAACAACACTGAGACCCACAAAGGTCCCGCTCGCTGAGGACTCGTCTGGTGACGAGATGGAAAACTGGGAGCCCGAGTCGTCTCCCCCGAAGCGTGAGGGGGAAGACACAACAACGATAGCCCTAACGCCCACAAAGAGGACAGGGAAAAGGGACTCAGAAACATTATAATTCTAAAAGAAGCTGAGCAAAATGCTCACTACAAACTCCGAGGCCACGCTGGCGAAATACGCCGAGAGCATAGGCATCCAAATCGCTGCACTAAACGACAGGGCAATGGAGATTCAGGCCATCTCACTACATGTAGCGGAGTGAACATGGAATCGTATGGCAGGATAAATGCACTTTACCTTATGCCCGAGAGCTGCACTCCGAAGACAGTTCTTCTTACGCGCCAGGATCCGAATCTCTCAATTCACGTGAGCACAGCACGGTCCTGTGTCTCGAGTCTTTCTCGTCTTCGACGCTACTACACTCCTCAGGCGAATGTGAAGAGATCAGGTGCTCTGCGTAGTCTGGTCGGATACCGACGAACCGCAGTGGACTCTGACGCATCAGCTGATTGTTGCAGAGTAGTGTCCGATGCATCTGCTTCTACTTGCGGTCGTTCAGCTGCGCAAAAGCAGTCCACCGGCGTTGGGACGTACAATGCTGTCCAGTCTTCTTCGCAGATTCGTTTCTTTATCTCATCTGCGTGCACCCCGTGTCGATTGTGATCTTCCGTCACTACTTCAAACATAACTCGTCCTTCTTGGCTGATAATCACACCTTTGATCCAGTGGTTCTTTTTCACCCTATCCTGCATGCAGACTTTCTGATTTATCTGCAACGTCCGGTCGCGACTTCTCTTGTCGTAGTTGCTCTTTTGGCGAACCCGCTCACGAGAACCTTCGAACGACTTGCCTGACTTGATCAAATCCATCGTCTTTCTCTAGTGTCGCTTTTTTCGCATCTCGCATGGAGGTTGTCCCGTCAGAGAGTGCGGTGTCACCCTATACTTGAGGAGCAAATGTCGCAGTCCTTCCTTTTTTCCCCCTTCTTGGATTTTCGCAAGGCAGACCTTAGTGTCCTCACAAAATTTTCGGCTAAGCAGTTTGACTGAGAGTGGTACGGTGATTTTAAGATGTGCTGAATTCCTTGGTTTTCTAGAACATTCTTAAAAACGGCACTAGTATACTGTGTTCCATTATCGCTGACTACTTGCTTCGGCAGTCCGTGAACAAGGAAGACTTCCTTGAATGCTTCCACCGCCTGCTAAGCTCTGGTCGACGGCATCAAAGTGGCTTTAGGCCACTTGCTGTAGGCGTCGATCACCGCCAAGTACATGGTGTTCTGGTATTCTGCGAAATCTGTATGGATTCGGTACCAGGGCCGCTTAGGCACTTCTCATTGGTGCAGGGGAACGTTTTCGTTTGTGTCAGAGACTGACGCACAAGCTTCGCAGGCCCGAGTTTTCGCTTCATTGTCTTTGTCCGTGTTTGACCACCACACGTAGGAACGGGCAAACATCTTCATTTTTGATTATCCAAGGTATCCTCCATGTATTAAATCCAGGAGGCTACGCGAAACCTAAGGGGGATCACTGTGCGCATGCCCGAAACTAGGCAGCCATTTGCCACAGTGAGTTCCGCCTGTTCCGATGTGTATGATTGCATTTCTGCGTCGCGTTCAACCGAGGGCCATCCTTCCATGACGTACCGGTAGACCTTCGGCAGTGTCTTGTCTTTAGCAGTCTCCGCCGCGATGCAAGAAATGAAGCTCACAGCATCGGCAACTCCATGTTGAACTTCCGCGTCAAACTCTGCATCAGGTTCTGGAGGTAGTCGTGACAAGCCATCAGCGTTTCCAAACTGAGTTGGTGGAGTACACTTAATGCCATAGAAAAGCCCTGTGGGATCAAAGCCCATCGTTGAGGTCTTTTGGCAGCCGTCACAGGGATTTCTTTCACTGGACTAAAAATCACTGTCAATGGTTTCTGATCTGTATACAAGACAAATCTTCTTCACCACAGATACTGGTGAAACTTCTTTACACCAAAACTTATGGCTTCTTTATCAATCTGGGCATATCGTTTCTCCGCCAAAGTTAGCGTTTTCGATGCATGCACAACTGGGCGTTTTTTTTTTCCTTTTATCTTCTGGAAGATGATTGCTCCGACGTTATCTGATAAAGCATCCGCTTCCAAATAGATTATTTCGCTTTGATCGAAGTGAACAAGTGTCTCCATGAATGTTAGACGCACCTTGATGTCTTGGGAGGATTCTACGCAAGCTAAGCTCCATTGCCAAGGAACATTCTTCTTGTGTAGATTAGTCAGCGGTGCGCACAGGTCGGCTAACCCTGGCAAAAAAATTGCGTAGGACTCAACCATGCCCGAAAATGCCCGTAGGTCATGTAGGTTAGTCGGCGCCGCCATGCTCAGTATGGCCCCAGCGTTCTTTTAAGAGGGACGTATTCCTTCAGGTGACAAAATCTGACCCAAATCTTCTACTTCTGGAGACATAAACACACATTTCTCTTTTTTTTTGGCTGGAGCCCATAGTTTTTGAGTCATAGGAGCACGAGCTCCAATTCTTGATGTGCTGCTGATCAGTATCTCCGGTGACAATTTTATCATCCAGGTAGCATGCCCCGCTGCCCAGGCCAGCGGTTAATTGTTCCATGGTTCGCTGGAAGATTGCAGGCGCTGATGGTATTCCAAAAAGCACCCGGTTAAGCTAGAACAGTCCCTGGTGAGTTTTTATTACATGATACTTTTTGTATCCTCCTCCAGCTCCACCTAAAGATATGCCTCCGACAGATCCACTTTCAAAGACGTCCGCTCTCTGTTGAGCTTCGAGTCGAGATAGGCGGAGGTGTCGCACCTCCGCCTACCTCAAATCTTTTATCCCCAGGCCGTCATTGGAGTGTAACCACCTTCCCGCAACTTTAGTATCTATATCATCATTTGATTCTTTTAGAAGCGCATTAACCTGCCATTTTTTTCAGCAGGTACCCTGACTCTTTTTTTTTTCTTTCCTAAATATTTGTATTTATTCTCTTCTTTGTATTGTGTCTTTTTACTTGTCCCTGACCTCTGTAATGCACTTGGGCCTTGAGGGTACTGAAATAAATAAATAAAATTATAAAAAGATCCTCAGGTCGCGGGAGCGGGTACTGCGCGACGTTCAACTGAGGATTGAGAGTCACGCTGAAATCTCCACATACCCTCATGAATCCACTGGTCTTCTGGACAACGACGATCGCAGTGGCTCACTGCGCTGTTTCCACTGGAGTCAATACGCCATGGCTACTTGTCTCTTCAAGTGAGACTGTGCCGCTTCGCGCAGTGCGAACGGTAGTGGTCTTGGCAGCATGAACTTCGGCACCGACCAAGTTTGTTTCTGAATAGGGCTGCGTATCTAGTCAGCACCGTCTTGAGGCTTTCTTCTGTTTTCACAAGAGCGACGAAGAAGTTGTTGAGATCCAATTTCAGAGCTGTCACCCAGATCCTTTCCAACAAGTTGGCTTGGTTTATGTTAGTGAAAATAGCCTCTAGATTGTACTTATTTCCTTCAAATTCAACCTGAAGTTCACATTGGCCCTTAACCTTGATGACCTCGTTGCTGAAACATTGCAGTTTGTACAGAGCTTCGTTCAGGTTCGGTTTTCCGGGGCGATGCCAAGTGTGAATGTCCAGTAAGGTCAATTGTGAACCGGTGTCTATTTGGAGTTCCACTCGCTTGCACTAAATCTGACATTTCAGAAACATGCAATCTAGATCGAAGACGGACTGAACCCCGGTGGTTACCTGCACCGTCCCTTTCCTTGTTGATCGTGATTTGCCAGACTGTCCTTTCCTGCACACCTTGGCAATGTGCTCTTTTTTCCACAAGCTGTGCTGTGTTTAGACTTGAACCGGCACTTGTCTTCGACATGGTTTGTATTCACGCAATGGAAACATTGTCTAGAAGACCTCTGTAGATCTCCCACCTGGCTGACTGCGATGGGTGATTCGGCAGCACTCCTCAATTGACGGGACTCTTCTTCCGCTCGACGAAAGCTTTTCGACAATGTGAGTGCAGTGTCCATTGATAAATATTTATCTTGGACGAGATGTGCTCTCAAGCGTTGATCTCGAAGTCCAATTATAAAAGCCGTGACCAAGAAACATGCGCGAGCATCGACCTCGTTCTCGGACTCGCAGTTGCAAATGACTGATCGTAGCCGTGCTAGGAATTACGTTGGTGTCTCACGTCCATCCTGGCGTGTTGAAAACAACTTCGCTCGTTAAAATCACTTAGAACGCTCCGGTTAAAAAATGAGTTTTCAGTGTTTTTGTTAATTCCGAATACGGAAATTAACTGACCTGCCTCGGTTGAACCAGAGAGTGCAGCAGCTTGAACGTCTCGAACGCCGGAGCTGTAACCAGAAAGCTCCTCTTTGTGGCATCATCTGTCGTTCCGGCGATGTCCAGAGATGTTTGGAACCTTATTTGGTATAACTTCCATTCCTCTTTTTTCGGGTCGAATGGTCCTGGTCCCATGAACCGAAAAATGTTCGATGTTGCTTGCTGCGATGTCTCGCCCGATGCGTTCATCATCTTGAGCCGCTCTCCAGGAATTCTGCAGGAACCCTCATCGCCAATTTGTAGCGGAGAGGACACGGACCCGTATGACTGGATAAGCGCACTTCACTTTGAGCCCGAGAGCTGCACTGCGAAGACCGTTCTTCATACACGCCGGGATTCGAATCTCTCGATTCACGTGAGCCCAGCACGCTCCTATGTCTCGAGTCTTTCTCGCCTTCTACGCTACTACCCTACACATTACCGGAGGGGAAGTTGGCGCGGGTACGTTATAATCCTCCAAGCCTTACTCCGGACCCGCATAATCGAAAAGCACTGAAACCAGTCTCGAAAATGCCCAGCTCAAGGATTATGGTACCCAATAATCAAAAGTATGTAATTTGGCAGTGCAATCGCCGTGGGCATAGCCGCGAACGGCGGAACCTTCATCGATTCATAGGCAATAAAAAGCGGAAAAGGCACCAGACGTCATATTCTCGCAGAAAACGGGGGGCCTGGCCAAACTCGCGGGGTAGACGCCGTCATACAGGGAGGATGAACCGGCCTCCGATAATAAAAGTATAACGATAGCGACCCTCGTAAGACGTAATATACCGGACATACGGCTCGACACCGGCGTAACGACTGTTGACCATGTCCGCGTGGAGATTATCTCGAGAATTAAAAGTAAACATTTTCGACGGAAAATTGTCTGGTTAGGAATAATTTAAAACTTAAACTTGAAACTCTAACCCCGCTTTATTAAAAATAAGGTTCTCGATGTTTCCCGATGACCACGGGCGAGTGTTTCTGTCCCGCAGCACGGCCCGCCCACGAACCCAAACACTCCCGGGGGCAAACAGGGCAGGGGAAGCCTTTTTGTACTAAACTTATATAGCAACCCACGCAAGGAACATAGATCCGCCAGCCTGCTTCGCAAAGCATTATACATTGCAAAGCGCCGAAAAACTAGTGGTAGTAGGTGACCTTAACCCACAGCACCCAAACTGGGAATGCCAATGGGAAGAGATCAAAAGACGGAATCCCTGGCTGAACGCCTAGCAGGAGGGGCTGTCACTGGTCACCGACCCCGCGTACCCCACTAGGGTCGGAAACAGAGTGTGTGCGGACACCATACCAGACCTAACATTCACGAATAGCGCTAAATAAGAAGCCGAATGGCTAAACACAAAGAAAAATTTAGGAAGTGACCATTATGTAGTGGCCACACAACTAGAAGCGGGCCCCAACAAACCCAAATGGGGCACGCAGCTTAAGATCACCCAGTGGGACTGGTTCAGGAAGCTAAGAGTAGCCGTAAATGATTCACATAGGAACAAAACAGAGCCGCACGAGATAGGACATCAGATCATGGGTCGAACAGCTTCACAGATGCGCGGAGAATGCAACGAAGACCGTTCCGGAGGAAGCCGACGCTAAGCTTCTACATACGTAGGAAGCTAAGTGAGGCTTGCAGAGCAGGAGAAATGGACAAGAGCTAAAACGAGCATTGCGCAGATGGCTGGCGATCCTAAATAATAAAATGGAAGAATACGCAAACCAGCCGTCACGCCAAAACTGGCACAGCACGTGCAACGGTATGGAACTACAGATAGGCCTCGTAAATACCTGGAATATACTTAGGAGCCTACTCGACCCAGATACAAGTTAAACCACGTAGGAGCACACTCTTAGTAAATTTCTGAGCACCTACCGAGGCACGGACGACGACCTAATCAAGGAAGTCCGCAAAAAATACATCGAAACCAATCCAAAAGAAAAACTTGGAACATACGCGGGAGCCTCGAGTGAGGCTATCGACCGTCCGTTCACAACAGCGGAGCAGCGGGGAGCCAGACAGAATCTATGCACTAAGTCCGCAGGCGACAACTGCATAACGACTCTCCCCAAGTACATGACCAAATGCTGAAAATAGAAAAAAATTATCAGACAATTGAAGACCCCCAAGGTTCTCACGATCCCGAAACCGGGCAAAACATTACTACTGGGGAACTGCGTCCCATGTTGCTCACCTCGTGCGTAGAAAAGCCGATGGAACACGTAGTGTAAGCAAACTAAATGGGTACATAGATGGGACTCTTCCCCCCTACCATGATAGGTTTCCGGCCAAGCTCTCTGCTCAGAACCTGATTTAAAGGCTCCAACTTCAAATTATCATCATCATCATCATCATTTATTTTCCTTGAGGGCCCCAGGGGGCATTATACAAGGGAGTGAACACACTAAAAACATCAACAAAAATAGTTAATAAAAAAGACGCTGTAATCTATACTTGTATTTCAGAAAGAAAGAGGTTAACGGCTGCAGCAAACTTGTTAGTATCAGTCATGTTTACAATGAGGTCAGGTAATGAGTTCCAATCGTCAATAGCAGATGGTAAAGTCGACATTTTATAGGAGACAGATGACGAAGTAATTGAGCGCAGTTTACATGAGTGGTCAAAACGAGGGAAAATACGGTAGGGAGGTGATAGTAGAGAATCTTTTAGATGGTTGTTGTGGTAAAAGATTTTGTGAAGAAGAGTGAGACGTGACACCCTTCGACGTAAAGAAAGTAAGTCAAGGTTAGCTGATTTGCGTAATCCTGATATGCTAGTGTATGGGGAGTAGTCAGAGTAAATAAAACGAAGACCTCTGTTTTGAACGGATTCAAGGTTGTTAGTTAGATATGATTGCCATGGTGACCATATGGATGAAGCAAATTCAAGTTTAGATCTGACCAAGGTCGTATAAGCTAGTAGTTTTACTGAAGGTGTAGCTAGTCTGAGGTTACGGCGAAGAAATCCGAGAGTACGGTTAGCATCGGCAGTGACAGCATTTATATGAGTAGTCCATGACAGATCAGAGGTCAGGTGAACGCCTAGGTATTTATATGAGGAACAGGTAGCTACTGGGATAGTGGAAAGGTGATAAGAAAAGGATGAAACATGTGAACTGCGGGTGAATGATAGAGATTTACATTTATTAAAGTTTAAAGTCATTTGCCATTTGTGGCACCACTGAGTTATAAGTGCGAGGTCATTCTGCAAAATTTGATTATCGTGGTTTGAATTAATAGGTCTATAAATTACACAGTCGTCGGCGAAGAGACGTATTGAAGAGGAGATGTTGAGGTAGAGATCATTAATGTATATTAAAAATAGAAGGGGGCCAAGAACGGTTCCCTGGGGGACGCCGGAGGTTACAGTGCAGGTGGTAGATTTGGTGTTGTTAATAGATGAGTACTGGGTGCGATTTGTGAGGAATTCGGAGATCCATTTGACGACTGAGGGATGGATATTAATATTTCTAAGTTTCAGTAAGAGACGTTGATGAGGGACCCTGTCAAATGCCTTGGAGAAATCAATAAATATGGCGTCAGTTTGCTTATTAGAATCAAAGTTTGAGTAAACGTCAGTAAGAAAAGCTGTTAGTTGCGTTTCGCATGAGTATGACTTGCGAAAGCCGTGCTGATGCTCGAAAAGAAGGCTGTGGGAGTCTAGAAAGTTTAATATGTTAGAATAGAGTATATGCTCTAAGAGTTTAGACGACACACTGGTGAGCGAGATGGGGCGATAGTTGTTAATTAGTTGGCGATCACCTGCTTTGTAAACGGGGATGACGTTAGCGATTTTCCAATCGCATGGAATTTCAGAAAGTTGAAGAGACTGCGAGAAAATGTCGCAGAGGAAAGTTGAAGAGACGTGTTTAGTATTTATTAATATTTTCGAGTTTATTTGGTCGTCGCCAGAGCTAGAAGACACCTTCAGCTGATCAATGGCCTTCAGTACACCAGAGCGGTCGATCATGATAGGATTCATAGGAGGATGAAGGGGTTGGCCCAAGTTGGGCATACTTGACAAGTCTTCATTGGTAAAGATCGAGCTAAAAAAGTTGTTAGTTTCAAGAGCACTATGTTCGTCAGAAAGTGGAAGGCCGTACTCGTCAACGAATTGTAATGGAAGAGAGAGTGCTGGGTTAATTACTTTCCAAAACTTTTTAGGTTTATTGGTTAAAATGTTGGGGAGGTCATGAGTATAAAATTTGGATTTGGCATCATGAATCGCGGATTTGTAGGCCCTAGCGCATTCGTGATAGGCGTTCCAAGATGCGTTAGTGTTATGAGCCGTTGCCCTCGTATAAGCTCTTTTTTTCCTGTTGGAGTGACAATGAACTGTTTTATCGTACCAAGGGTTAGTGTTATCGGATATAATTCGAGTGAGTGGAACGAAACGTTTGATTAGGGATGTTAGTCTATCTTTGAAAAGAATCCAGTTTTCATTGACCGTCCTTTCTGCGAAGTTTACTGAGAATATGTGATAAAATTCTTCGAGGTTGGTGTTGATAGATGCGTAGTCGGCTCTCGCATAATCGTGAATGAATTTGCAATAACGTGATTTCTTAGGAGTAGTGATGGAGAATGTTAGCTCAATGACGAGGTGGTCGCTAATGCTGGGTAAGTATGTGACGTTGCTGAAGAGAGAAAGGTCATTGCTTAAACATAGGTCGAGTACGTTGCTGCAGCGATTGGTAATTCTAGTGGGTTGAGTGATAACATTAGATAGGTTAAAATCTAAACAAAGGTCAATAAACTCTTGAGAAAATGCACAGCTAGAACAAATAGTAGACCAGTCAATATTTGGGTAATTGAAATCACCAAAAAGGGTAACTAAAGCGTTAGGATATTTACATGCGACTTCAGAAAGGCATTTATACAGCTCAATAACAAAATCTCTTTTATTATCCGGCGGCCTGTAACACACACCCATTATTACGGAAGGCGTTGTGCAAAGATACACCCAAACAACTTCTAGGTCAGTGGTAAGCGGTATTAGCCGTGATGGTATATGGTCTTTTATGGCCAAAAGTACGCCCCCTCCTTTTCTAGTTTTTCTATCAGACCTATACACTCGAAAGTTTAGTTGCGAGGGAAATAGCTCAACGTCAGATATATCAGGGCTTAGCCACGTCTCTGTAAGTACAACAAAAGCGGCATTACACGCTTCGATTACTGAAATTATTTCGTCTCTCTTTGGTATTAAGCTTCTAATGTTAATAAATAGGATAGAATGACTGGAAGATTTGTTAGTGATAACATGGTGCTTTGCGGTCGACTTCTAGAGGGCGACGAGAAGAAGCGCTGGCGTGGCTGTGTGTCTTTTTCTTTAACGGCGCCAAGAGCGGCATCGAATACATAGCACTTATCATTTATAAAAAGTTTATCATGACGCAGTCTGTAGGGGGTGCCTTTTGGCCTTGCAAAATCAAGAAGGTGACGGCGTGCGAGCCGGACAGAAATTGGGAAGTCTTCGCTGATGGCTACGCGAGTTCCTTTAAGCTTGTGGGCTGATGAAAGAACGCTATCTTTATCTTTAAACGAAGAAAACTTTACTATTACTGGGCGACATTTCTGAGGGTCGAATGCTCCTAGGCGATGCGCCCTTTCAATCCTAGATGATTCAACTTGCACGTTTAGTTTCTCGGAGCACAAGCTAGTGACCAAGCACTCTGACTGAGCCCACGTTTCCTTGTCTGCGTCGGTGATGCCAAAAAATAAAAGATTACAGCGACGGGATCTGCCCTCTGCATCATCGCAACGTGTTTTTAGCTGAGATAGTTCGTTTAAGGCAGCAGTAAGCTGGGGTTCAGTGGTCGCGGCGCTACTAGTATCCTTCTGCTTTAGTGCGTCGAGTTCACTCGCGAGTTTGTTAAGTCGCTCTTCAAGTGTTGAAACTGTCTGTTCACTTTGTTTTTGTTTTTCTTTTAGAAGGTTTACTTGACTGTTTTTAAGTTTATCGACTGTTTCTTGTAAGCTAAGTAATTGTTCTTCTTGGGGTTTTGACATGGGACCTGGGTTCCGCTCAGCATCACCAGACAACAACAGCAGCAGAACTCTAAAAGACTCAATACAAGCTTCAGGGCATGGAAGCATAACAAGGCAAACATTGTCTGATTTAAAACAATGGCAAGGTTTTTGTTTACTAACCTGCGGGAGGACGAAAAACATGAGCAACTTCATGGCTGCAGAGCTTTCATGCCCACTGGCGCGCTGTCGCAAGGGGAGCTCCTTTATAGCTGCCGCTGTCGATGTCCCTGCTGATGACGTGGTGTGAACGAGGTTCTCGATGAACTTGATACCAGGACAGGACGGTGCTGTCGACGAGTGATTGGCAGGTTGAAGATTGCCGTCCGGATGCCGGAAGAAAACCGCGCCGTCATCGTGACTCCAGTTAGTTGGGGACCCACGCGCCGGCACGCTCAGGAACTGCGGGAGGACGAAAAACATGAGCAACTTCATGGCTGCAGACATAGACGAAGAAGGATGATCCGCACTACACACCAAGGCCATTGTGGGTCTCGACCTCACAAAGGCATTCGAGAATGCAAAACACGAAGAAATTTTAGGGAACTTAGAACAATTATACCGACGTTGAAAAGCCTACGACTACATGAGGGATTTCTTTTTTCGGCTGGGCAGCCACCCTGACAGTAAGGGATATTGAGTGCGGCGAGCTGGAGATCGGAAGCAGAGGCAAGCCGCAGGGCTAAGTCCTCTGGCCTTTCCTCTTCAACGTAGCCGTGATCAAAATAAATCACAGCCTTTACGCTGACGACGTCACACTCTCGGTGGCTGGCGGCAGCGACGGGAACGTTAACAGTATACTAAAGTAGGCAATAAACGCGGTGGAAGAGTAGATCGAACCAAAAGGCTTAGGCTGCTCCCTACGAAAATCGGAGCAGCTGCTCTATCGGCCGACGCGGAGAGGACAAGAAAAAGAGGCAGCCACCAAAAGACCACAAATTCAGCTTCACGCCAGTGGGACCAGGTGCCACAATGCATAAGGGTATCAGGCCAAAAGCACCAGGAGAACGGCCAGAACACGGAGACATTCCGGACACTCAAAAAGGTGTGTTCCGAAACCGCCACCTCAGTTATCGGATAGCCAAACGTCATCGCGGAATAAAGGAGGGCAACTTAATCAGACTGGTTCCGTCTTTCGTCCGGAGCCGATTAGCCTAGGTTGCTCCCTATCTAAATTTCAAGTTGGAGAAGCGCAATAAAATCAATGCTTCTACAAAAAGTGCTTACAAGCAGGCAATCCGCATACGAATAACGACTTCCAACAAGCGCTTTGAAGCAGTAGGATTTGCAGAACACGCTCGACGAGCTGGTAAAAGCACAGCCGATAGCGCAGCTGGAAAGGCTTAGCGGGAGCCCAACTGGCAGACACTTCCTCCAAACATTACATATTAACTACGAACGAGGATACGGAGACAAGCACAACATTCCACCCGACATCAGGGGACATATCGCTTCCCACCCTCACCAGGGTGTCAGACAAGCAGTCGTGGGTGAGAAAAGAACCGTCCCGTTTATTCAGACACCAGATTCGGGTCATGCGACCAGTGATAACAGTTGGCGAGGATCCGGCCCGTCGGCGTATTATCAAGATGACATCACATCTTCCCTTTTTGCTTTAGGTAGGAAACAAACTAGTCATTAATCCCATGTCTCTTATGAATCTTTACAACTCGCCCACATCGCGTCGTTACATCGTGTGACGCGGGTTCACCCCCTGGGGCACTCTGTTGAGTGCTGGTCGACGGATGATCGGACGCGCAACGCTCGCTTGGTGGTGTGGTCTTCCCAGACTTGCTTGCATCATTTGTGGTCTTGCCCGCGGTCTCGGCAGGTTGTTGACACTCTGGCTTTCCACCAGGATCGTTGTCCGGCAGCAGGAACAGGTGACGACGGTTCCTGCGGAAGCTGTCGTCCTTTTTCCGGACCCAGTAGGACCTCGGTGTGTCCCCGGGGCGAAGGATGGTACCCGTAGCACCTCTGTCTCTCACCCAGACGTGGTTGCCTGCAGAAAGACTACGCAAAGGTCTGGCACGTGACGCTTGTCATAATACTCGTTCTGTTTCTGCCTATACTGCTCATCTCTCTTCTACCAAGAAGGGTTTACCGTGCAAGGTTTGAACAAAGATGGAGCGCCAGCCATTTTTGAACGAAGTCGGTGGCTCATAAGAAGTTATGCTACACTAAACCCTGTAGGCCCAGGGGTGTTCCGGTAGTTGAGCAGCACAATGTAAGGGTCTTCTGCTTTGTTCAAGAGTAGTTTTAGAGTCCTTATCATACGTTCCGCCTCACCGTTTGCTTGCGGGTAGCGAGGGTCGGTTGTCACGTGCTTGAACCCGTACGTCCTCGCAAAGTCTTGAAACGAACCCGATGGAAACTGGGGCCCGTTGTCCGAAACCACGGTCTTCGGAATCCCGTGTCGGGCGGAGATACTTTTCAGGCGTTAAATGACGGCCAGAGATGACTTGCCTTTGTCCAATAACGCCATTTTCGGTTACCTGGAGGGAAAATCAACAACAACAACAACTCCTAGATTCTCCCATGGTAGTTGTGATGTTTCGGATGGGATCATGGGTTCCGAAGATTGCGCGCGTTCTGAGGCGAATTCTCGGCATATGGACATAACTCTAGCAATATCCTTGCTGAGTCCCGGCCACCAGACAGATTTTTTGGCTTTTTTCTCGGCAGCAAACGATGCCTTGATGGCCTTCATAGAGACTTTGAAGCATTTCCGTCCGCAGACTTCTTGGAATGACAAGTCTGGTGTCCTTAAGGAGCAAGTCGTTGCAAACAGTAACGTTGCCACGCTGTGCCCAGTACTGCCCAAGAACTGGTGGTCGCTTTTGTTTTTCTGGCCACCCTTGTCGGCAGGATTGAAGCAGCCATGAGGATTCGTGGTCACTCTTCTGCTCCACACGCATTCGGTCTATCAGACTGTCGGATGCTGGCATGCCCCCGGATGATTGCGTCAAGGTGTGCCGAGAAGTCCTCCTCCGAGAGCATCCCCTTTGACGGTGCCAAACTGTTGCTTCTTGCTCGTGACAGTGTGTCTGCTGTGGCAATGGTTTTACCCGGAACGTGCATGAGGGTGAAGGAGTACCTCGTCAGGCGCATTCAGAATCTTTGAATTTTTGGGGGTAGGGAGTCTAGTGGGTCGCGGCCCAGCAACGGAAGTAGGGGTTTATGATCAGTCTCGAACAAAAAACGTGAGACCTCGCCGAAACTCGTCAAAGCGTTCTGCAGCCCATGTTAGAGCAAGGGCTTCCTTCTTTACCTAAGGGTACCTCTGTTCTGTCTTCGTCAGCGACCTGGAGGCGTATGCAACAGGACGTCGCTCCCCAGATAGATGATCTGGAGCAGTACGGCGCCGAGGCTGTGCAACGAGGCGTCTGCAGAGGTGATTGTTGGGTCGCTTGGGTTGTACCGCGCAAGGCACCTTTCGGAGCTTAAGCTGTCCTTAATAATGCGTCGTCTTGCTGAGGACCCCATGAAAAGTCGTTATCCTTGCATCGAAGGCTGCGAAGAGGCCCTGTGGTAGATGCTACATCTGGTAGGAATCTTGCAAGGTGGTTAAACATGCCCAGGAGAGAACGAACTTGAAAACATGTTGAGGCCAGGGGAGTTCTATGATGGTCCGAACTGTCTCGGGATCCGGTCTCACTCCAGTGGCGTCGAAGACCATTCCCAGGAACGATACTCTCTCGACAGAGAAGCAGCATTTTTCTTTGTTTAGGGTAACACACTTCTGATGTAGCCTCTGCAGTACCTTGTGCAGGCGACTGTCGTGTTCAGTCTTGTTCGCTTCGTACACCAATAAATCATCCATGTAGTTCAGTACGCCTTCTAATCCTTCCAAGACATATGTGAATTTTCTTTGGAAACTTTTTGGTGCCCAATTCACGCCGAAAGGTAGTCTCCAGTAGGAATACCTTCCATGCGGCGTTATGAAATTGGTAAGTTCTTCACATGATTTCCAAAGGTGGATCTGGTAGAATCCAGAACTGGCAGTCAGTGTGAAAAGCACGGGCTTCTTGGAAGCTCTCCATGATTTGCAGAAATATTCCAAAAGCCGGGAATCATATTGAGAAAAAAACTGCGCCGACTTTACCCAATACGATTAACAATTTAATCAAACGTTTCGTCGCCTATGCGGAAAATATCGTCAGTGAAACCTTCAAGCAGGAATTCCTGCTTGAAGGTTTCACTACCGACGTTTCCAGCATGGGAGACGAAACTTTTGTTTAAATTGTTAATCTTGTTGAGTAAAGTCGGCGCAGTTTTTTTTTTTTTTTTTATCTCCATGATTTCTTTACCGTTGAAAGCTGGTGACGTTCCCGCCGTGAAAACTTGTTTAGGTGGGTCAGGTCGACACAGACTCTGACGTCACCTGAACGTTTCTGTACTGGCACGATTGGGGCGCACCACTCTGTTGGTTCTTCAACCTTTCGAATCATTCCTTCGATATCTAGCTTGTCTAGATCCTTTTTACTGTGTCTTTCATCGGTATGGGAATCCGACGAGGAGTAGATACCGCGAACGGGACGGCATCCGGTACTAAGCGTATCGTGTGTGCTCCCGCCGGCGATCCCGTAGTTTTGAGCAGTTTAGGATACTTGGCTTCTACGTCTTTGACGCTCTCTATGTCGTCCAAGAATCGAACGATGCCCAAGGCATTTTCCGCTGGGAAACCAAGAAGGGAAGTTGGCAGATTACGGACGACGTAGATAGTCTGTCCTGAGCAGTCATCCTTCCAGGTGACTTTCGCGTTGACCTTACCAACAATGCAAATTCTTGCATCGCTTGGCCCTCGAATATTTTCGGCTTCGTCTAGCGAGCGTGGAACGCCTGGAAAATTATCGCTGACTACTGTCACCTCAGCTCCCGTACCAACTTTCATTTGAAGTTCCTAACCTTTTATATGCACAGTCATGAAGAGCGTAGATAAGGTGCTCTTCTAGTGCTCCAGCGTACCCAAGAAATGCTTGTTATCGGGTGCGGCAATGATGTCAAGTTTCTAGCCGTCGCGTTCTTTCATCCGACATGCCTTTTTGAAATGTCCGACCTTTTGACAAAAACGGAATTTTTCTCTTTGGGCGGGACAACTGGTCCCTGGGATGTAGAGGACCAGAGCAATAACTGCACATCTTGATGTTTACAGTTCTTTGACTGGTAGAGACTTCACTCATTCTAGCGGTATTTTTTTTTGTTTTACAGCCGAAACGCACGCTTCAGGGCTTGCGAACTCTTGCCCTGCTAGTTCGGGTTCTTGTTTCTTTACAATTTCGCTTGTCCGAGCTTTCGATAGAGCTAAGTGCAGCGTCAGCTGTGGATCCATTTGAAGCTCTTCTCAGAAAGTTTGGTCCAAAAGACCGACTACGAATCGATATCTGGTAAAACGTTCTTTCGTGTCCTTAAACTCGCAACGCTCTGCTAGCCTG